AAAACACACCAAGGTGGTAAAAAAAACTTACTAAGGATACGACAACAACAGCTAAATGTACCAACTCTTTCAGTCCTTTGATAGACGAATTGGACGATAGCATAGTCAGGCTGACAAGGAAGGTACGAAAACCTTAATTGTTGGTGATTCCCAGGTGCGGTACCTGGAGAGAGCTTTTTGTGGTAAAAATAAAAATAGGACGAGGGAGTGTTTGCCAGGAGCTGGGGTGGGGGATATAGCTGACAGGATGGACAATATCTTGTCTGGTAATGGGAACAAACCCATTATCTGCCTCAGTGCAGGAGGCAATGATATTGGCCGGTGCAAGAGTGAGGAGCTTCTTGATAAGTTCAAGGCAGCTATAGAACGTATTTGGTCGAAGTGAGGGATCCCTATCATATGTGGTGTCCTGCCTAGAAGGAGAGTTGGCAATGAATGGTTGTCAAGGGCAGTTGGTGTCAACGGCCGTCTTGACAGATATTGCAAGTCAATATCAGTCCCATTCATTGATAACTGGGACAACTTCTACGGGTGAAGGGACCTTTATACTAAGGAAGGGGTGCATCTGTCTAGGGATGGGGTGGCAACCCTGGCTGATTCTCTCGAGAGGGCAGTTCAAAAGATGTTGAAGTCTTTAAACTGCTAGAACATATGAGCACGGGGGTGGAGGAGAATGCAGTGGGAGCGGGTAAACAAAGTGAAAGGTAACAGGGAAATAGTGCTAGGAATTAGGACAAAACTTAATTATGCAGGGAGTTAAAACCTAAACGCGACAAAGAGAGGACTCAGAACACGACTAGCTTAAAATTCTACGACGCAAGCAGTAGAAGTATGAGAAACAAAATGAATAAAATCAGGGCTTTGGTTTGTATCGAAAAAATCAATATAATAACATTCACCGAAACATGGATAAACCTAGACTCACGTGAGTTACCTCCCGAATACCAAATTGCAGGTTACAAATTATTCCATACCGATAGGCAGATTAGGAAAGGAGGCAGAGTAGCAATCTATGTCAGGGATAATCTGAAGTGTGAAATAAATAAGGAAATAAAAACTGAGCAGAATACAGAAACAATTTGGATAGAATTAATCGATGGTAGGGAAAAATTAATCACGGGATTAATATAGATACCTCCTAATCTTGATAGAGTTAATGAGCGACTTATTTGGGATGAAATGCGCAGGGCTTCCATATATAGCAAAGTCTGTATAGTAGGCGACTTTAACTTTAGCCAAATAGATTGGATTGACCTTACGGGTAACTCAGAATCAGAGGATTTTCTTGAAACAATCCAGGACTGTTTCCTAAGCCAACATATAACCGAACCCATACAGGGTAATAATATACTCGATTTAGTTCTGTCAAACAGAGAAAACCTCATTAGTAATGTCGAGGTAGGGAACGAACTTGCTAACAACGATCACAAAGAAATTAGATTCCACTTAGAATTTCAGGGCAGACGCACGGAAAATTCCACTAAAATCCCAGATTTCAGAAGGGCAAACTTTGATAGTTTGACGAGGCAGCTGAGAGAAGGGGTATAACGCTTGGGGGTGAATTACATGATCTCACGTGAGGTGACCTCACACAATATACCCACAGAGGGCGACCTCACCTTACCTGGAGACCTGACGGTTGAGGATGACCTGATAACGAGATTTGAGGTTGACGAGTTCCACAACAACTTAAATAATGAGTTACTTTAAGCACAAAGGCAGAATATACCATACAGAAAACTCAGATCAAACAACAATGACCCTAAATGGAAAAATAATTATTTAAAGAATATAATTGGACCAATGAAGACTATAGGTAGAATAGATCGTGGTAAAGATTACCTCCGAGATTATTATAAGGTATTGGCCGGTAGGGTTAAGACCGAGATAAGAAATGCAAAGACGAATAATGAACTGAAGGTAGCATGGGAGGCGAAGTCAAACCCCAAGGGATTCTATCAAATGTATTAAACTAAAACACGAGAAAAGATTGGACCAATACAGTCAGATACCGGCGAGCTAACGGATAACGATGGAGAAATGAGCAATAATCTGAATAAATATTTTTCAACAGATTTCACCACCGAAAATTTAAACATGATACCCGAGGCACCGACTCTATACAGAGATAGTGAAGAAAATAAATTAAGCGAGATTGTAGTGACCAGTAACGATGTTAGTAAGCAAATAGACAAACTAAAGCCTAATAAGTCACCAGGTCCCGATGAGATATTTGCCAGAGTATTAAAGGAATGTAAGGAAGAGCTTAGTATGCCCTTAGCAAAGTTGTTTAACGTGTCCTTAAAAACGGGTGGAGTACCAGAATCCTGGAGGATAGCGAATGTAATACCGATTTTCAAGAAGGGAGATAGATCACTATCCTCCAATCAGTCTAACATCAATTGTAGGCAAATTACTGGAAACAATCATTTCAAACTCTATTCGAAATCACCTGGAGAAGCACAAGTTGATCAATGATTCCCAACATGGCTTCACAAGCGGGCGTTCATGTCTAACTAATATATTAACATTCTTTTCATCTGTTTTCGAATCGGTGGACGAGGGGCACAATTATGATGTGGTATATCTCGACTTAAGCAAAGCCTTCAACAGAGTCCCCCACGAAAGACTAATAAGAAAAGTGGAGGCTCATGGCATTAAAGGAGATATTCTAAAATGGATTAGGGCGTGGTTACAGGACAGGAAACAGTGAGTGGGCATTAACGGCACTCACTAGTGGAGTTCTTCAAGGCTCAGTACTTGGACCATTATTATTCATTATATACATAAACGACATAGATATCGGAGTGGACAGCAATTTGCTGATGACACTAAAATAGGACGTGTAATTAAATCTGACGAGGACTCCGCAAAACTTCAGGAAGATCTAAATAAATTTTTCGAATGGTCTGAAAAATGGGAGATGAAATTCAATGTGGACAAATGTAAAGTACTCAGAATAGGAGATGTAAACAGGGAAACCAGATACCAGATGAACAACGATGTTACTGAGAAATCCGACTGCGAGAAAGATTTAGGAGTGATGATAAATAGGAATATTAAGCTAAGTAAACAATGTGTATTTGCTCGAAACAAGGCTAATAAAGTACTTGGGCTCATACAAAGGAGTGTTAGTTACAAGACTAGCGAGGTCATCCTAAAACTATATCTTGCGCTTGTGAGACCTCACTTGAATTACGCACTTCAATTCTGGTCACCCTATTACAGAATGGATATAGAATCCTTGGAAAGAATTCAGAGGAGAATAACAAGGCTAATCCCGAGCATTAGGAGCCTTGAGTACAGAGACAGGTTAAAGCATCTTAATTTGCACTCCCTCGAGAGATGTAGAGTGAGGGGCGATATGATAGAGGTGTATAAATGGAAGTCAGGGCTGAACAAAGGGGACATTACAAAGGTACTCAACTAACCAACCAGGGGCGAACTCGTAACAATGGTTTTAAATTAGACAAATTTAGATTTAGGTGTGAAATAGGTAAACATTGGTTTGGAAATAGAGTAGTGGAACATAGGTTGGATGGATATATGAGCGATAGGGGTTGGGTGAAAATGGGACTGCCCCAGTATGGGCCAATAGGCCCGCTGCAGTTTTCTCCATTCTTATGTTCTTATAAGATTGTTGGAAAGACTGACTGACTGGTTAGTAATAACTGTTGGAAAGACACCATGAACAACGGTAATTAACAGAACTTGAGACTGTTGACAATGGAGTGTGGAGACTCCAAGTGAACCACCGATGTGTGCCATTTGAAGAGTCTGGAATGTCACTGATCGAAGCCCCCACTGAGGCACTGTCTCTGTTTATGGCCCAGAAGTTCCTGGGACGGGTGAATGTGGTGCACTGTCTATTAGAACGGGTGAATGAAGCCAAATTAACCGCATCTAACAATAATATGCAACTCCAAATAACCGCACCTTTTGAACATTTGGTTACAACCACAACAACAATATCCGGGTAACAACCTGAATGACGGCTGACCGCAAGTTTCTGAAACGTTACTTAGTTGACCGCAATTTTCTGAAACGTTCCTTATTTGACAGCAAGTTTCTGAAACGTTACTCAGTTGACCGCAAGTTTCTTAAACGTTCCTCAGTTAACCACATGTTTCTGAAACATTTCTCAGTTGATTGCAAGTTTCTGAAACGTTTCTCGTCCGACAACAAATCTCTATAAACGTTTTGCTGCTTAATCACGTGATTGGGAGTTTCGGGACAGTTCATCAGCTGAGTAAACGTTTTTACATCCCACTACACAATAACAACAACACGAAACCAAGTCAATTAACAGTTGAAGGAGGAGGCAGGCGAATGTTGAAGGCTGGTAATGGGTGTTCTGGGGGTGGTCTGGGGATGGTCTGGGGATGGTCTGGGGATGGTCTGGGGATGGTCTGGGGTGTATTGATTGTTTGTCAGGCCACAGCTTACAGCCCAGAGAAGAACAACACATATAATAGTAAGTAGATGCCCTCGTGGTAACCCACATAGGTTGACACACCCGACAGTGAGAGGAGACCTGACCCAGGAGAGCTGACGGACACAAGGTACCCGAGTTAACCCTCCAGCCAGTACACCTGTCACCTGACCAAACACACCCAAATTAGTGAGGACATCTTCCTGCTTGTCATCACCAATATAAAGGCCCTGCAGCTCCTTCCTAAAAACATTAACATACGGATCATCATTGTAACAGGGAAGGGGCCGACAGCTCCTCCCCAGAGGGAGACTTCCCTCCCCAGCACCGAGCCCCAGCTAGCATAGTCTTCCACAGGAGATATAGTCCAGCAGTACCTGGTGGGCCTCCCTCAGGTCACACGTGAGTCTTTGTCAGAGTGATCCAGGGGTGAGTTACTTACGGCGGGAAGTGTATCCATATCATGTTTGTGTCCGAGAGTTAGTGTCTAGTAACCTCGATATATTGATCTATTGATGTGTTCATGCCATTCACTTAACGAATAAACAGTTGTACTTAGAGTTGGCATTTAAGAAATTCCCCCTAAGTGATCCCTCATTACAGGGGGATGGTCTGGAGGTGGTCTGGGGATGGTCTGGAGGTGGTCTGTCTCTGTCTGAGGATGGTCTGGAGGTGGTCTGGGGATGGTCTGGAGGTGGTCTGGGGATGGTCTGGGGATGGTCCTGGGATGGTCTGGAGGTGGTCTGTCTTTGTCTGGGGATGGTCTGGGGATGGTCTGGAGGTGGTCTGGGGATGGTCTGGGAGGTGGTCTGTCTTTGTCTGGGGATGGTCTGGAGGTGGTCTGTCTTTGTCTGGGGATGGTCTGGAGGTGGTCAGTCTCTGTCTGGGGATGGTCTGGAGGGTCTGTCTCTGTCTGGGGATGGTCTGATGGTCTGGTCTGTCTTTGTCTGGGATGGTCTGGAGGTGGTCTGTCTTTGTCTGGGGATGGTCTGGAGGTGGTCTGTCTCTGTCTGGGGTCTGGAGGTGGTCTGCCTTTGTCTGGGGATGATCTGGAGGTGGTCTGTCTCTGTCTGGGGATGGTCTGGAGGTGGGTCTGTCTTTGTCTGGGGATGGTCTGGAGGTGGTCTGTCTTTGTCTGGGGATGGTCTGGAGGTGGTCTGTCTTTGTCTGGGGATGGTCTGGAGGTGGTCTCCACAGTGGCACTCATCACCATGAAGATCAATACTGGCCGACCCCGTTAAAGCGACTTGTTCATCTCCCGAGTCCTGTGTCACAGCTGACCCTACAACTACTAGTACTCGGCTACTACAACTATTACAAACACAACAGCTACTACTACTACACACACAACAAACAAGACGACAACACCTACTATTAATACTACTACCATAACAACACATACAATTACTACATCTATAACTACTACAAGCACAACTACAACTACTACAACTAATACAACAACTATAACACCTACAACAACCCCGACAACTACAAGACAATAGAATGGATATCAATTCACTGGAGTCGGTGCAGCGAAGAATGACGAAAATAAAATGATTCCTGGACTTAGAAACCTTCCATATCAAGATAGGTTAAAGAAACTTAACTTGCATTCCTAGAAAGACGAAGAGTGCGGGGAGATATGATAGAAGTATTTAAGTAAGGAATCAATAAAGGATATAGATAAAGTTCTTATAATATCCGAGCAGGATAGGACTCGGAGCAACGGATTTAAGTTGGATAAGTTTAGGTTTAGAGGGAGATAGGAAGAAACTGGTTCACAAATAGTGGTGGATGAGTGGAACAAGCTACCAACTTTGTGTAAGTGCTGAACACTGGAAAGTTTCAAAAGGAGGCTAGATAGATTCATGGATGATAGAGAGTGGTAGAAACTCTCGACAGGAGCTGCCATGCACAGGTCAACCGGCCTAGTTCAGACTCATTATTTTCTTATGTTAAATACAACAATTACAACAACTACTACAAACACAATTATACAACTATTACTACAACCACAAACCATCAATGCAAACTACAACAACACCAACATTTCAGCAGACTTCTCTTTAGACATGTTATAAAAACTTTGGCAGAGAGAGAGAGAGAGAGAGAGAGAGAGGGAGAGGAGAAGAGAGGAGGAGAGAGAGAGAGAGAGAGAGAGAGAGAGAGAGAGAGAGACACTGCCCATCACCTACCACAAACAACTTTATCTTATCCTCAGTGTCCTCACCAGCACCAACACCACCACAAGCATTTACAGCGCCAGAACTTACACCAACAGCACTCTCACCAGCACCATCACCACTAGCAACACCACCTACACCACCAACACCACCACCCACACACCACCAACACCACCACCCACACCACTAGCACCACCACCTACACCCCACTAGCACCACCACCCACACCACTAGCACCACCACCCACACCACTAGCACCACCACCTACACCACTAGCACCACCACCTACACCACTAGCACCACCTCACCACACCACTAGCACCACCACCCACACCACTAGCACCACCATCTACACCACCAACACCACCACACCACCTACACCACTAGCACCACCACCTACACACCACTAACACCACCACCCACACCACCAACACCACCACCTAACAACCAACACCACCACCCACACCACTAGCACCACCACCTACACCACACTAGCAACACCACCCACACCACACCAGCAACACCACCTACACCACTAACACCACCACCCACACCACTAACACCACCACCTACACCACTAGCACCACCACCTACACCACTAGTACCACCACCTACACCACTAGCACCACCACTCTACACCACTAACACCACCACCCACACCACTAACACCACCACCTACACCACCACCACCACCTACACCACCTAACACCACCACCCCACCACTAGCACCACCACCCACACCACTAAAACCACCCACCTACACCACTAGCACCACCACCTACACCACTAGCACCACCACCTACACCACTAACACCACCACCACCCACACCACTAGCACCACCAACTCACACTACTAACACCACCACCTACACCACTAGCACCACCGCCTACACCACTAGCACCTCACCATCTACACCACTAGCACCACCATCTACACTACTAGCACCACCACCTACACCACTAGCACCACCACCTACACCGCCAGCACCACCACCCCCACCACTAGCACCACCACCTACACCACTAGCACCACAACCTACACCACTAACACCACCACCTACACCACTAACACCACCACCTACACCACTAGCACCACCACCTCACACCACTAACACCACCACCTACACCACCACCTACACCACTAACACCACCACCTACACCACTAACACCACCACTACACCACTAGCACCACCACCTACACCACTAGCACCACCACCCACACCACTCAGCACAAACACCACCACCTACACGACTCCAGCACCACCACCTGCAACCTACTAGCAACCACCACCTACACCACCAGCACCACCACCCACACCATCTAGCACCACCACCTGCAACTAGCACCACCACCTACACCACTAACACCACCACCCACCACTCAGCAACCACCACCCACACCACTAGCACCACCATCTACACCACTAGCACCACCACCTACACCACTACTAGCACCACCATCTACACCACTAACACCACCATCTACACTACTAGCACTACACCCTCACCTACACCACTGGCACCACCACCCACACCGCTAGCACCACCACCCACCACTGCTCACCACCACCACACCACCACCTACACCACTAGCACTGCACCACCTACACCACTAGCACCACCACCTACACCACTAGCAACACCACCCACAACAGTAGCACCACCACCTACACCACTAGCACCACCATCTGCCACACCACTAGCACCACCACCCACACTACTAACACCACCACCCACACCACTAGCACCACACCACCCACACCACTAGCACCACCATCTGCACCACTGGGCACCACCACCCACACCACCAGCACCCCACCTACACCACTAGCACCACCACCTCCACCCTCGCTAGCACCACCACCCACACCACTAGCACCACCACCTACACCACTCAGCACAAACACCACCACCTACACCACTAGCACTACCACCACAACCACTCAGCACCACCACCTACACCACTAGCACCACCACCTACACCACTAGCACCACCACCTACACCACTAGCACCACCACCTACACCACTAGCACCACCACCCACACCACCAACACCACCACCCACACCACTCAGCACCACCACCCACACCACTAACACCACCACTAGCACCACCACCTACACCACTAGCACCACCACCCACACCACCAACACAAACACCACCACTCCACACACCACCACTAGCACCACCACCTACACCACTAGCACCACCACCTACACCACTAGCACCACCACCTACACCACTAGCACCACACCTACACCGCTAGCACCACCACCTACACCACTAGCACAAACACCACCACCTACACCACTCACACAAACACCACCACCTACACCACTAACACCACCACCTACACCACCTACACCACCACCCCACTAGCACACACTCACCTACACCACCAACACCACCACCGACACCACTACACAACACCACCACCTACACCACTAACACCACCACCCACACCACTAACACCACCACCACACCACTAGCACAAACACCACCACCTACACCACTGCAAACACCACCACCCACACCACTCACCACCACCTACACCACGCACAAACACCACCACCTACACCACTAACACAAACACCACCACCTACACTACTAAGCACCACCACCTACACCACTAGCACAAACACCACCACCCACACCACTAGCACAAACACCACCACCCACACCACTAGCACAAACACCACCACCTACCACTAGCACACACACCACCACCTACACCACTCAGCACCACCACCCACTCCAGCAGCACAAACCCACCACCCACACCACTAACACAAACACCACCACCTGCACCACTAACACCACCACCTACACCACTAGCACAAACACCACCACCTACACCACTAGCACCACCACCTACACCACTAGCCCAAACACCACCACCTACACCACTAACACAAACACCACCACCTACACCACTCAACACCACCACCTACACCACTAGCACAAACACCACCACCTACACCACTAGCACCACCACACCTACACCACTAGCACAAACACCACCACCTGCACCACTAACACAAACACCACCACCCACACCACTAGCACCGCCACCCACACCACTAGCACAAACACCACCACCTCCACACCACTAGCAACTACCACCCACACCACTAGCACAACACCACCACCTGCACCACTAGCACCACCCTGCACCACTAGCACCACCACCTACACCACAAACACAAACACCCACCACCTACACCACTAACACAAACACCACCACCTACACCACTAGCACAAACACCACCACCTACACTACTAGCACCACCACTCACACCACTAGCACCACCACCTACACCACTAACACAAACACCTCCACCTACACCACTAGCACCACCACCCCACACCACTAACACCACCTACCACACCACCTAGCACAAACACCACCACCTCACCACTAACACAAGCACCACCACCTACACCACTAACACCACCACTTACACCACTAACACAAACACCACCACCTACACCACTAACACAAACACCACCACCTACACCACTAACACAAACACCACCTACACCACTAGCACCACCCACCTACTACTAGCACCACCACCCACCACTAACACCACCACCTACACCACTACCACCACCACCACCTACACTACTAGCACCACCACCTACACTACGCACCACCACCTACACCACTAACACCACCACCCACACCTACTAGCACCACCACCCAACCACTAACACCACCACCTACACCACTAGCACCACCACTTCACCACTAACACAAACACCACCCACACTCACTAGCACCACCACCTACACTACTAGCACCACCACCTACACCACTAGCACT